AAGCATCAAACAGACTGTCAAACTACAGCAGGAACGCTGGGAGGGTTCGGGCGGGGTGGGTGGGTGGGTGGGTGGTGGTGGTGGTGGTGGTGGTAAGAGATCAACCGAAGGACTTATATGCATGCACGTAAGCATAACCAATGGACACAAGACACTGGGGGGGAGGGAGGGGAGGACATGTGCCAGGGGGTTTGTGGGGGGATAGGGAAGGCCAGGGGAAGGTCAATGAGGGAAAAAAGGAGACATATATACTACTATTTGTAATACTTTAAACAATAAAATAAAATTTAAAAATAAATACATAAATAATCCCCTCCTCCAAAAAAAAATAGTAATAATAGTATATAATGTACTTGACTACATTCCCAGGGTTTAAATTTTAAGATTTGCTTTCTCTCCTTATGAAGAAAAATTTTATGCTTAAGGTATATGGGAAGCTCTGTCAAATAAGGAAGTGACATTTGTATTCTATTTATATATACATATTAAATAGATTCTAATATGCTTTCATTTATAACTAAGTGTTATAAGTTATAATATTGTGGAATATTGTGTTTTGCAAAAACGACAAGATTCCAAAGTAACTAAATTTATAGAAATACTAGCAAGAAAAATCAGGAGAAAAAGAATTTGATTATAGGACTAAATGAACTAAAAATAATTATAGTTTTAGTAATTATGTTCTAATAGAAATCTAATTTCTTCAAAACAGGACATAAGTCAGTTTCCAATTGTGGTTTTATTAACCAAAACTTTGCTGGGATGTCATGCCTGAGAGAGACAGGCCAGGACGCTGGATGTCACTGGGAAGCTCTGAGGAGTGAAGACCGGCTGAAGCCGATAAGCCCCTTGGATAAATGGCCTGGTACCTTATTTGGTCACATGGCTCACGGCAGCTTTTCCAGGTAAGGAACGAAGGTTGCTTTCCTCAGAGATGGCATGAAAGACATCTCAAGACACCTGTGGGGACCTCAACTTGAGGACTGCACCCCAATTGTGTAGGTATTGCAAGCAAAGAAGCCTGATGGCAACTTCAGGCTTGGCTTCTTTGCCCTGGGAGTAAACTTTCCAATGAGATTCCAGCAAAGCACATTTTTTTTAAAAAAACCTGTATAATCAACTGTTATTCTTGTTATGTTCATGCAAACAATCAGGCCAAATTATAACTATACTTAATACAGTACGTAAATTAGCCTTTCATAAAAATAAGGATGATTTTAGGGAGAAAAAATGTTTCAACAGGAAATTATTAGAAACTGTTCTAACTTTTGTCCAATTAATACTAAATTTTATAACTCAGTTTGTCTCCAACAGATTACAAGCCCTACTTACACCTAGGGAATCCCACCTCTAGGCACCACTGCCACCTCCTTCTGTGCCCAGGCTTCATCGTCCCTCTGACAGAGAGCAAGGATCTCTTAGCTCTGAGAGAAACCTCTGACCCACCTTAGCACAAAGCAGTTTCAGAAGAAACTGGTATCCCCTTTCCCTGAAAGAATTCAGAGCCAAGATCCTTAAGGGGGATGTAGTAGGCAGTTAGACAGACATGAGCAGAGCAAGGACGATAGGCCAACAGGAGGGTAAAGAGATAGACTCTGAGACATGCTTCTCACCACTCCAGCTGCTCTGAAGCTGGGAATAGAGGAACCTGTATAGAATTAACCTTTAATCACAAATAATAATTAGAAGGAATTTATAGTTTTTGTATAATAGAAGGTATAAAGATAAAGAAAAAAGAAAGTGAAGTCGATAAACTGAAAGGGTATGTGTAAGTTACAGAAGATATATATAAGTTACAGAAGGTATATATAAGTTATAAAAGGTATATGTAAATTTTAAAAGGTATGTATAAGTTACAGAGGGTCTCTACAAGTAAAGAAGAACTAAAGTTGAGGAAGTAAAATTGTGAGAAGAGATGTAAAGAAAGGAATATAACAGGAAGAGAGGAAATTAGAGTAGTAATACTAAAGAATAATTGTGAAAGTTATAAGAGTGTTTATAAAGGTCATAAAAGGTTTATAAAGAGAAATCTTAAAAGGAATTATAAGTATACTAAATAACAAATCTAATAAATAGAGCACCTAAATTAATCGGAAAAGTAATCATATTTTAAATCTTAGAACACATATCCTTATATGTGAATAGGGGGGTTAGGTTTTTCCTAAAGTTTTCTTTTCAAGGCCTGTTTGAAGTAATTAGAGAGGTAATTCAGCTATGAATCCAGCAAACAGAACCGATAAGCATGGTCAGACTGACCCCCAGAAGTCAACATCATCTCATCGCCTGACAATAGCTCTGTCTACAGACCACAGGCCTGCAAGTAGCTACATTCCGCACCCTCGCCCCTTCTCCTTTATAATCCTGTCCCCTACACGTCGCTAGAAGGCAAGATTTAATGCTTGTAAGCACCCTGTCTTCTTAATTAGACTAACCATTGCTGTCGTTGCAATTCTCTGTTTTTCTTATAGTCTACAAAATCAGAAATCGACCTAGAAAAAAATCTCCAGAAATTCATATGGAATAAAAAAAGACTCCGAATAGCCGCAGCAATCTGGAGAAAGAAGAACAAAGTTGGAGGGATCACAATACCAGGTATCAAGCTATACTCTAAAGCCACTGTTCTTACAACTGTCTGGTTCTGGCATAAGGAACAGACATATAGACCAATGGAACAGAACAGAGAACCCAGAAATCAACACAAGCGATTATGTTCAATTAATATCTGACAAAGGAGACAAGAGCACACAATGGAGTCAAGACAGTCTTTTCAATAAATGGTGCTGGGAAATTTGGTCAGATACATACAAAAAAATGAAACTAGATCACCAACTAACACCATACACAAATATAAACTCAAAATGGATAAAGGACTTGAATGTAAGATGGGAAACCATAAAAATCTTAGAAGAATCCATAGGCAGCAAAATATCAGACATATGTCGGAGAAATAGAAACTAAGGAAAAAATACACAAATGGGACTACATCGAAATAAAAAGCGTCTGCACAGCAAAAAGAAATGTCAACAAAACAACATGAAAGCCCACTGCATGGGAGAACATATTTGCCAATGTTATCACCGATAAAAATTTAATCTCCAACATTTACAGGGAACTCATACAACTTAACAAAAGGAAGATAAACAATCGAATCAAAAAATGGGCAAATGACCTAAATAGACACTTTTCGAAAGAGGACATACAGAAGGCCAAGAGACATATGAAGACATGCTCAAAGTCACTGATCATCAGAGAGATGCAAATCAAAACGACAATGAGGTACCATCTCATACCTGTCAGAATGGCTATCATCAACAAATCAACAAATGACAAGTGCTGGCGAGGATGTGGAGAAAAAAGGAACACTCGTGCACTGCTGGTGGGAATGCAGACAGATGCAGCCACTGTGGAGAACAGTATGGAGTTTCCTCAAAAAATTAAAAATGGAACTCCCATTTGACCCAGTAATCCCACTTCTAGGAATATATCCCAAGAAATCAGAAACACCAATCAGAAAGGACATATGCACCCATATGTTCATAGCAGCACAGTTTACCATAGCGAAGATTTGAAAACAGCCTAAGTGCCCATCAGCAGATGAGTGGATTAGAAAACTGTGGTACATCTACACGATGGAATACTATGCTGCTGTAAAAAAGAAGGAACTCTTACCATTAGCAACAGCATGGATGGAACTGGAGAGCATTATGCTAAGTGAAATAAGCCAGTCAGAGAAAGATAAATATCACATTATCTCACTCAAATGTGGGATATAATGATCAACATAAACTGATGAACAAAAACAGATCCAGAGACAGAGAAGCATCGAACAGACCGTCAAACCTCAGAAGGAAGACAGGTGGGGGACAAAGGGGAGGAGGGTGCAGAGATCAACCAAAGGACTTATATGCATGACCAATGGATACGGAAAGTAAGGGGCGAGGGCACGTGCTGGGGGTGGGAGTGGTAGGGTAGAGGTCAATGGGGGGAAAAGGAGACATATGTAATACTATATGTAATACTATAAACAATAAAGAATTAAAGAAAAAAAAGACCTGAAAGAACTTGAATAGTATGTGTGCAGCCATGATCAGAGGAGCATTATTCACAACAGCCAGGAGATAGAAACCGCCCAAGTGCTCACTGACAAATGGATAAACAAAATGGGTTCATACAGACAATGGATTATTATTCAGCCTTAACAGGACAAACATTCTTTCTTTTTTTTTTATATTTTATTGATTTTTTTACAGAGAGGAAGGGAGAGAGATAGAGAGTTAGAAACATCGATGAGAGAGAAACATCGATCAGCTGCCTCCTGCACATCTACTGGGGATGTGCCCGCAACCCAGGTACATGCTCTTGACCGGAATCGAACCTGGGACCTTTCAGTCCGCAGGCCGATGCTCTATCCACTGAGCCAAACCGGTTTCGGCCAGGACAAACATTCTGACACTGGCTGCAACAGAGATGAGTCATGAAGACACTATGCTAAGCGAGACAGGGTGGTCAACACAAGGACAATTACTGTGGGATCCCACTGCCCTGGGTTCTCGGGGAGTCATATTCCCAGAGGCAGAAAGAGAAGGGGGGTTGCCAGAGGCCGGAGGGAGAGGGTGATTTCGAGTTAGTGTGCAAGTCTCGGCTGCGGGAAGATGAAAGTTCTGAGATGAATGCTGTGATACTGCACAACGTGAAAGGAACTTGATGCCAATGAGCTGTACACTTAAAAAGAATCACTGGTAAATTTTATGTTATGTATATTTTACTACAATAAAAAATCATTAAACCACCTAATAACACTGACTATGAAGTACCTCTCCATTTATAAAAAAAATTAAGTTGTTTTAAAGTTTAAGCTTTCTCTCAAAAAAACAAACAAAACACAAACACAAAAAACAAAAAAAACAAACAAACAAAAAAACCAACAAAAAACAAATAGCAGACATGGCTGTCACTTTAAGCATTTGAAAAGCACTACATTTCACAGGTTTTATACTCACAGTGTCCTGAATTACTTCATTTTTCTCCATGTTTTCCTCTAGATAAACCCTCTCTTTCAGGCCGCTCTTAGGACTCTAATTAAAAAGAAAAAGAAGAAAGGTATTTAGTTCATTTCAACAGGCTCACTAAAGGAGAGTAAAAAAAATAATGTGGAAAAAGAATCTTCTGAATTTCATCTATGTATTTGAAACTACTAAATATCTTTTATATAATATCTGGCTTTGCTAATTTTTTCCTGACTTTAGCAAATCACTTATTCTCTCAGCTTTTTAGTTTTATATTGATGCCAGTAAAACAATATAGAACTATCCTGGCCAGTGCTGTTCAGTGGTTATAACATCAACCCGTGCACCAAAATGTCTCGGGTTCAATTCCCAGTCAAGGGCACATACCTGGGTTACAGGTTCCATTCCTGGCCAGGTCTCACATTTATGTTTCTCTCCCCTACTTCCTTCTTTTCCACTCTCTCGAAAAATCAATGGAAAAAATATCCTTCGGTGAGGATTAACAACAACAAAATTACAAACAACAGAATAGTTTTACTTTAACTCTGGGCCTGAGGGCACATTTCTACCAAATAAGTCTAACTAGATATATTACGTATCTCAAACTCATTATGTCAAAATCAATCTCTATCATTATCCATCTCCTCTAATCCCCTCTGTCCCAAGATAAAAGCATTTTGAATTATTTATATGAATGAAATTAGCTTCTATTTTGCTGTTACTATCTTGTGTAAAACGGATGTATAGATTTTCATAAAATTTACATGGTATGTTTTCAATGACCTAATATAAACACAAATTCTCTGACATGCAGAATTTCAATTTAGGAGGGTGAGGAATACCCCAAAGCAATGGAGCCACTCTTCAGAGCGGCTGAAATGAGGCACAGAGATTTTGTGTGAATGCCAATAGGGACAATACATGCTCTCTATAGACACCAAATACCACGCAACAGAGAGACAGTAAAGCTGCCAGACCTACTGGGAGTCATGTCACAAGAATACAGAAGACAATTTGAGGAGACTCCATTGGCCAAAAAAAGAACAATTTAAGCATCAAAAAGAATAATGATTGCAATGGACCAAAACACACTAAGCAAGTATGTTAAAGTCTGTGGGAAACTGCCTACTGTCTTCTCTAGCAGAGAGGTGTGGACAAGGAGCCCAGAATGCTGGTGACCCTTGAGCCCTGGGCAAAGGTCAGGGCAATGCACCCACGGTTTAGTCCAGACAATGGTAGCTGAAGCAACTTCCCCACCAGATAGATTATTATTTCTGTCTCATCTCTTCATTTGCGTGTGGCCCCTCTTCCTGAGCCCGAACCCTGAACCACACGGGACATGGGGGGACAGTCACAAAAATCTATCAATTCAAAATATACACAAGAGTGAATGTACACACATCCCTACATTGGGGACCTCTGGAGTTTGTTAGGTAACAACTCTTCTGAAAACAGATTCATAAAGGAAAAGAATCAAGCATTTATACCACCCTTCCTGCATAAGCTATATTTTAGGGTAATCTAAAAACCAGTAAGGGAAAACTATTCTTCATACAATAATTCCATGTAATCTAATCTAATAATAGACAAACATGGTAATTGACCATACCTCCACTACGCTTCCCAGTGGCTAATCAGCAGGATACGCAAATTAACTGCCAACAAAGATGGCGGCTGGCAGCCACGCAGCTGAAGCGAGCAGGAGGCTTGCTTGCTCCAGTGATGGAGGAAGCCAAGGTTCCCCGCCTGCCACGGCCCAGCTCTGAGCTCCCCTCTAAGCAACAAAGTTGCAATTATAGAGGCTAAACAAACCCCAGATACCTGCTTTCAGCAGGCCGTGGCCTCAGAGCTGGAGCGGCAACAAAGTTTCAATTATAGAAGGTAAATAAATCCCAGAATAAAAAATAAAAGGAAAAAAGTAGAGGCTGGGAGCTTCCATTGCCAGTTTGGCCAGCCTGAAAACAGCCCTCAGCCCCTCATCCAGACTGGTCAGGCACCCCAGTGGGGACCCCCACCCTAAAAGGGGTATGGGCAGCCTGAAAATAGCCATCAGCCCCTCATCCAGGCTGGCCAGGCACCCCAGTGGGGACCCCCACCCTGAAGGGGGTGTGACCAGCTGCAAACAGCCATCAGCCCCTCACCCAGGCTGCCCAGGCACCCAAGCGGGACCCCCACCCTGATCCGGGATACTCTTCAGGGCAAACCAGCAGGCCCCCACCCGTGCACCAGGCCTCTATCCTATATAGTAAAAGGGTAATATGCAAACTGACCCTAACAGCACAAAGACTGGGAATGACTGGTCACTATGACACACACTGACCACCAGGGGGCAGACGCTCAATTCAGGAGCTGCCCTCTAGTGGTCAGTGAGCTCCCACATGGGGGAGCTCTGCTCAGCCACAAGCCAGGCTGATGGCTGCCAGTACAGCGGTGGTGGTGGGAGCCTCTCCTGCCTCCTCAGCAGCGCTAAGGATATCCGACTGCAGCTTAGGTCTACTCCCTGCTGGCAAGTGGACATCCCCCAAGGGCTGCTTGGCTGCCAGAGGGATGTCTGATTGCCATCTTAGGCCCAATTCCCCGGGGAGCGGGCCTAAGCCAGCAGGTGGTCATCCCCCGAGGGGTCCCAGACTGCGAGAGGGCACAGGCCAGGCTGAGGGGACCCCTCCCCCCCGCCCAGTGCACAAATTTTTGTGTACCGGGCCTCTAGTATCTATAATAAAAGCATAATATGCTAATTAGACCAGATGTCCTTCCAGACGACCTTCTGGACGAAGCCGGGGCTGCGAGGGAAGTCCAGGTCCCGAGTGCTGGAGGGAAGCTGGTGCTGGCAGCTGGGGGAAGGAAGGGATGCTCTTACACGAATTTTGTGCATCGGGCCTCTAGTGGGTAAATATTTTTATTAAGAATCTGTAATGATATTGCAGACTTATCCCACTGCCCCCCCCTCAATGCCCGCCTCTCCCCCAACCTCCCCCTCTTTTTGCCTTCACTACACTATTGTCTCTGTCCATGGGATATGCATATATGTTCCTTAGCTAATCCTTTCACCTTCTTTATCCAGTCACCCCGCCCCACTGCCCTCAGGAACTGGCCAGTCTATTCCTCGTATCCACGCTACTGATTCTATTTTACTCGTCACTTTATTTTATTCATTAGATTTCACATGAGTGAGATCATGTGATACTTGTCTTTCTCTGCCTGACTTATTTCACTTAGCATGATACTCTCCAGGTCTCTCCATGCTGTCACAAAGAATAAGAGATCCTTCTTTGTCACAGCTGCATAATAATCCATCATGTAAATGTACCACAGCTTTTCTATTCACTCATCTGCTGATGGGCACTTGGGCTGTTTCTAGATTTTACCTATTGTAAATTGTGCTACAAACACAGGGGTACATATGTCCTTTCTGATTGGTGTTTCTGGTTTCTTGGGATATATTCCTAGAAGTGGGATCACTGGGTCAAATGGCATTTCCATATTTAACTTTTTGAGGAAACTCCATACTGTCTTCCATAGTGGCTGCACCAGTCTGCATTCCCACCAGCATGCAGGAGGATTCTGTTATCTCTGCATCCTCGCCAGCACTTGTTTGTTGATTTGTTGATGATAGCCATTCTGACAAGTGTGAGGTGGTACCGCATTGTTGTTTTGATTTGCACCTCTCTGATGATTAGTGACTTTGAGCATTTTTTTCATGTCTCTTGGCCTCTGTATGTCCTCTTTGGCAAAGTAACTATTGCCCATTTTTTTAATTGGACTGTTTGTCTGCCTGTGTTGAGTTGTATGAGTTCTTTACATATTTTGGAAATTAATCCCTTATGACATGTATCATTGGCAAGTATGTCCTTCCATGCAGTGGGTTCCCTTTTCATTTTTGTGGTTTCTTTTGCTGTGAAGAATAGAATCTTTTTAGCTTGATAGTTTATTTTTCCTGAGTTTCCCTTGCCCTTGGGAACCTATTGGCAAAATGCTTCAAGAGATTTTACTGCCTATATTTTATTTGAGGATTTTTATGGTGTGGCAACTTACATTTAAGTCCTTTATCCATTTTGAGTTTATTCTGTATGGTGTTAGTTGGTGGTCTGGTTTCATTTTTTTGCATGTACCTGTCCAATTTTCCCAGCACCACTTATTGAAGAGACTGTCTTTACTCTAGTGCAGTGATGGCGAACCTTTTGAGCTCGGCGTGTCAGCACTTTGAAAAACCCTAACTTAACTCTGGTACCGTGTCACATATAGAAATTTTTTGATATTTGCAACCATAGTAAAACAAAAACTTATATTTTTGATATTTATTTTATATATTTAAATGTCATTTAACAAAGAAAAATCAACCAAAAAAATGAGTTCGCGTGTCACCTCTGACACGCGTGTCATAGGTTCGCCATCACTGCTCTAGTGTATGCTCTTGCCTCCTTTGTCACATAAAGACATGGTTGATTTCTGGGCTTTCTGTTCTGTTCTGTTGGTCTATATGCCTGTTCTTATGCCAGGACCAGGCTGTTTTGATTACTATGGCCTTGTAGTATAGTTTGATATCAGATTTGTCTGATCACTATGATAGACCTTCCAGTACTATGTTGAATAAGGGTGGTGAAAGCGGACATCCCTGATCTTAAGGGAAAATCTTTTCATTTTGGCCCATTAAGTATGATGTTGGCTCTAGGTTTGTCATATATGGCCTTTATTAGGTTGAGGTAGGATCCCTCCATTACCACTTTGGTGAGAGTTTTTATCATAAATGGATGCTAGAGTTTACTGAATGCATCTATTGATATGATCACAGGATTTTTATCTTTCACTTTGTTTATGTGATGTATCAGATTTATTGAATTGTGAATATTGAACCAACCTTGCATTCTTGGAATAAATCTGACTTGATCATGGTGTATGATTTTTTAAAATGTATTGCTAGATCCAATTTGCTAATATTTTGTTGAGGATTTTAGCATCTATGTACATCAGAGATATTGGCCTATAATTTTCTTTGTTTGCAGTGTCTTTATCTGGTTTTGATATTAAAATAATGTTGGTCTCCTAAAAAGAGCTTGGAAGTCTTCCCTCCT